CCCCCCCCAGCAGCCAGGAGCCCTGCGTCCAGTATGCACCCCTCCCCCACATCTAGAGAAAGGGTCAGGGCTGGAAGCGGTCCTTTCTCCATTGAAGACCCAAGGCCCCCGAGCTGTGGGAGGTCCGAGGAAGGCCCAGAAGGGGTGGGGCTCACCTGGAGGGACATCACACCAGGAGGAGGCTGGGGCTGCGCAGCTGCTGGTACACCTGCAGGAGCCGCTCCGCCGTGGTCCCTGAGCTGGCCTCATCGTCTGTGCTCAGCCGGTCCCGCAGGGTCTGCACCTCTCGCAGCAGCGTCTGCGGGGTGGGGAGGGGGGAAGGGGCGGCACTCAGACTCCCCACCTCCCTGCTGGGCACAGCCCCCGCCCCTCTGGGGGAGGCCCATCCTACTTGGGAGGACAGTCCCCACTCCCCAGGTGGCGGGAGGAGCCCCCATCCCGACCCTTGACCCTCGGGCTGTGAGTCCGGGCAGGCTCCACTGTGCTGGGGACACCTGAGGCCCTGTGCATGTCCCCAGAGGAGCCCAGCCAGGTCCCGCGCTTGCTGGCCAGGCTGGGGGGGAGGCCCAGATGAGGGACCTCACCTCGTGGTTGACCTGGATCTGGTGGAGATACTGAACACGGAGGTCGGGTGGGCTGGAGCTCTGGGCAGCCTGTTCCACAACCATCCTCTGGTGGGGGGACAAGGGACAGGTGGTTGGAGAGGACACTTCCCACCTCCCATCTGGAGGGGGTGCCTGGGGCCCCATCACCTCCGAGGGGCCCTCTGCATGGTCTGCTGCAGCCCCAGCAGGTTACTTGGAAGGAACGTCCTTCTCGCTCCCCGTTCCTCTGCTGCCCACTCCCTCCCTCGTCCTCACAGAGCCCTTCTCTCCTCCTTGGTGTCAGGACTGGCGCCAGCTGCTGCCCTCGCGGGGGCCACCCAACCTGCCCCATTTGCTTTCTGGGGAAACCCAGGCAGCTCCTGGGAGCTCAGATCCAAGCCCCCAGACAGGCTCAGGCGGCGAGGCCCCACCAGCCTCTGCGGCAGCCGCTGCAGGAAGACCATGTGGCGGGGGCGGGGGGCGGCGACCGTTACATGGACCACGGTGTCAGCTGACAGGACAGACTGTGGCCTGCAGTCCGCCTGAATGTTCCTATCAAGGGAGCGTCTGCAGCTCCCTGTTAGGAGCCAAACCTGCCCCCAGCAGCTCAGCACATGACTGTCCTCCGAGCTGTGGTCTTTGCCAACGAACGAGGGAAGAGGAGGCCACGTGGGTGGGCCCTAAACCGACGTGAGCGGCGTCCTTGTAAGAAGCGTGCAGACGTGCACAGAGGACAGCCGCGGAAAGACACAGGAGAACACGGCTGTCTGTGCACCACGGAGAGGCCTCAGCCTCCAGCACGCAATTCCTGCCGTTCGTGCCCAGGCTGTGGTTGTCGTGGCACCTGGACACGAACGTCCCCTCCCTGCCAGTGGTCGGGTCAGCACGCTCCTTCCCGAGTGCCACATTAAGCGTCAACCTCCTGGCTGCCGTGCTCGGCATGTCTGGAGACGGCCTGGCAGGAGCGAGAAGACGGTCGAAGAGGCCCCTCTCTGGGCACAGGGAACAAGAACCAATCCGGGGGCTGGTGTCCCCACCAGGCCCACACCCCTCTGACAGCTCGACACACTCAGGACTAGATCCCTGAGCCACATGTGCCACGGTGGGCACATGTGCCATCAGTGTTGCGTGGGGGGGGACCGCTGGGGTCACAGGCTCCTGAGTAGCGCCCACCTGCCTGGGCTGGTGAGGGCTCCTGGTTCCCCAGGGTGCACTGGAGAGTCTAGACCACCACCACTCAGGTCCTCGTCAAAGCCTAAACGCCAAGACCGCGGGTTCTCCGATTCCCAGGTCTGGGATGGGGCCTGGGAATGTGCTCTGGTAAGTTCCAGGGGGAGGCTGGTTCCAGAGCCATACCGCAGAGCTGTCGCCATCGGCCGACGGTTACCACCGCAGACCCCTCTATGACTGTCAAGGCCTCGTTCAGAACAGGTGGGAGGAGATAGGCCGGCCAACCTCGGAGCCAGAGCTCTGTCCCGCCAAGGGCACCAGGTGGCAGGTTTCATCTGGAACCCGAGGACAGCAATGTGACAGCTCATCCCATGCCAGGTGGCAAAACGGGCCCCAAAGGCGTGTGAGAGGTTGGCCGTCACTCCTGCTTTCTTGGCAGAGATGTGGAGGCTCAGAGTGTAGGTACCTTGTCCCAGGACCCACGTTCGGGGCATCTTGCCAGGGCCCGGCCTCTCGGCACAGCCAGGCAAGTTGGGAGGCCTGCACGTGAGCGTGACAGGTAGCACACGGACCGTCCTCTTTTGACGCAGTGCCCACGTGGGTTCGCGGACGCGCTGGGGGGCCGCCGGCACACCAGATGGCGGTGCGTTACTGAAGTGCCATCAGCAAAGCTGCCCTACTCACCCCTCAGCTGCCCATAGCTCACCTGCACGACACAAACACGCACAAGCAAAGAGGAGGGAGGATCGTCCTGCAACACCCACGCAGGCAGCCACGGTCCGCCACAGTCCCGTTCCCACCACCGCACTCCGACCTCCTGAGTGAGCCCGTGTACCTGTAGACGCCCAATGACAGCATGGTGTGCCTGGCACAGATTGGCCAGAGAGGAGCTCTCCACTTGGATCTCCACGGCCTGCACAGGCCCTGCCGCGCACAGGTGGGTCACCGTCACCTGCAAAGCACGAGGAGCCTCGCTGTCCACGCACCGCCCTGCCCCACCCCGAGGGCAACTCTCAGAGGGCCCCAACTCCCCAGTCTGGGCCGCCCCTCTGCAGCCTGGAAGCGGAGAGGTGCGGGAGGGCTCCCGGGCCTGGGCCTCCCCACCTGCTAACTTGTACCTGAGAGCCCGCCACCTGCACCCGACCAGCAGCATCCCGTTGGGAACTGCCGTCCAGAAGGCATCCCGCTCCCGTGGGACGGACACTCACGGCTCCCGTGGGACGGACTATAGCCACGGCACTCACTCTACAATGCAGTGACTCTGTGCCCGCTCCACCGTGGACAGCCCACACCGGGCATCCCGGGTCACCCGGCAGCAAGGTCAGGGTTTCAGAAGTGAAACTGGGAGGGGACTGGGTGCCCAAAGTCAGCCAAGTGCCCCCAGGAAGTTCGGGGCACACCGAGCTCAGGGTGAAGCCCCAGCACAGCACGGGCAGGCTGGAGGCCAGGACGTGCTGCCTCGCTCCCCATGCAGGACCCAACGGCCCAGGGGCGGAGCCACTGTCTGGAAGTTCTTCCTTCCGCAGCCTGGGGATGTGCTGGGGTTGCGAGTGCTCACCAGGTCGACTACCCGGCCCTTCCCACCACCTGGGGAGCCACCGTCAGGGCCCGGAATCGGCCCAGGGATGCGCCAACCCAGGCACGCCGATCTGGCCTGAAAGGCTGTGCAGTGGGCGGCCCGCCACCTCAGGGACAGGTGTCTTGGCCGCCTGGGCCACTCTGTGAGCCTCCAACGCTGGATTGTGAGAGTCTGCTGGACACGACCCCAGGCCTGCCACCGGGAGCATCTTGGGAGGGAAGGTGTGTGCGAGAAGCGTGCTGACAGTTGGTTCCGGGGTCTCAGCGCCCCTGTAGGGCAGGGGTTTGGTGGTTCAGGGCCTGGGGTCAGTGGGGTCCCAGAGTACACACTGTCGCCAAGCAATGCTGGGGCACCTGGCCACGAATTCCAGCAGTGCGTGGGCCCGTCCCCACAGGGGCCTGAAACGCGAGGTCCACGCTGCCACTGGCCCCGCGAAGGCTGTTCCGGCACAAGCGTGCGTCGGGTGGTGCACGTCAGAAACCTCCGGAAGGTTGGGCCCAATACCCTGATTCCTCTCAAGCAGCCCAGAGATGCTGTGGGCTCTCAGACGCCGCTCTGAAAACCACCACTATCGACACGACTTCCCCAGAGAGCTGACCCCTGGCTTGCCTCTCGGACGACAAGGTGGAGGTCAGTGCCGTCAGGGGCCACTCCCCGGACGGAGGACAGCAGTCGGGCCCTCACGACGTCCAGGGCGCTGTTCTCGGCAAGCAGCCACTGCAGGGTGGTACAGCCCAGGGACACGCCTGGCGGAGAGAGGCACCACAGGGAGCTCGCACAGGTCCTGGAAGAGGCGGGAGCCCCGCGTCCACAGGCAGGAGCCGGGCCGTCAGCGACACCAACCTGGCTGACCGTCCCCCAGGGCGGCCCTCAGAAGCCCCGCTGACACCTTGATGGTGGCCACCGACGGGGGCGGGAACTTGGCCCGCAGGGAAGCGGGTCCGGCCGGCTCGCTGCCCGGCCCGAGGCGCGCTCCCAAGAAGATGTCCACGGGGTCGCCGGCGGGGCTGCGCGGGCTGGGGGCCTGCGCGGGGGGCGCGGCCAGGCCGGGAAAGCGCAGGCACTGCAGCACGTCCACGGTGTGCTCGCTCAGGGGCAGGCAGACGCCGTCTTGCTCAGGCAACGTGTCGGGGGGGCACCCTTCCAAGGAGGGGTCCTCGGAAGAGTCTGGGGGGGCGAGGGCCCCGCCCACAACCTCCCTGAGGCTGTAGTGGAGCGCACAGGAGACCGTCACAGGCAGGTCCGGCGCGCCGTCCTCACCGGGACCCAGGGGCAGCGTCACCTCCCGCCGGTCGCCGGGGCCCAGCCGGTCCACGGGGATGGCGTAGGTGGCGGCCGAGCCGGCCGAGTCTGGGTCTGAGGCGCGGGAGCGGGTTCGCACCTGCACACACCAAGTCCAGCCCCGGTCCAGACTGAAGCCGCTGCCGTTCTGTAGCCGGCAGGTGGCCGTCAGCACGTCCTGCAGCTGCGCGCGGCTCCAGGCGGTGGCAGTGGTACACGAGATGGGCCTGGGGCCCTCGCGGCTCGCCAGCAGGACGCAGCTCACGTTCACGGCTTCGTTGAGGCACACGAGGGCCCGGTTGCGCTGATCAACTGCCTTCTTCAGAGAAGACACCCTGGAAAGGACGAACACGGCACCTCGGGGACGGGCGAGGAAGCGCGGGGGTGGGTGCCGCGTCCCCTCCTCCTGGGCCCGGAAGACACCAGGACCCGGCCGCCCCGTGACGTGCGTCCAGAGAGGAGCGAGGGCCTGCCTCAGGGC